TCTCTTCTCGCGCCATCGTCACCATTGCCATCGTCGTATTTATAATTTATCTCTCTAAGCTGCCCCGCTCCCTCGGTCGTAAATACGGACGAATTTGGGCTCGATACCATCAGTCTGCCTATATATAACTACCTTGATACCCCAGGTTCAATATAAGTCAAGTCCAGAGTGTCGCCTGCTGTCTCCATTCATCCTCCTGTTATCAATAAATGATCCGACGCCTGACTCAGTATACGAAGCAATTCCAACGCCCAGTCACTACACTGGTAAACAGCAACGTCAAGATGGCCGCCCCCGCATCAGATATCACTCTCTACACCTCGCAGACCCCCAATGGCATCAAGATCTCAATCGCCTTGGAGGAACTTGGGTGAGCCTCCTCCCGACTCCCTGCAAGGACGTGACAAGTTGAGAAATAGCTAACACATTAAATGAAGCCTCCCGTATAAAGTTGTGGCCATCGAACTCGGACAAAACACCCAGAAGGAGCCTTGGTTCCTCGAGATAAACCCAAACGGCCGCATACCAGCCATCACAGATACCTTTACTGACGGCAAGAAGATCGCTATCTTCGAGTCCGGAAGTATCTTGGAGTATCTCGTTGATAGATACGACACGGAGCACAAGATTTCCTACCCCAAGGGAACCAGGGAAGCATATGAAGTCAGCAACTGGCTCTTCTTCCAGAACGCAGGTGTAAGTTTGATCCATTTCTTACGAAGGCGTCTCGCTGGTTAATCAGAGTATTGCTAACGAAGGCAACCGAAAAATTAGGTTGGCCCAATGCAAGGTCAAGCAAACCACTTCAACCGCTATGCTCCCGAGCGCATTGAGTATGGCGTTAACCGATACACGAATGAAACCCGCCGTCTCTACGGGGTACTAGACAAGCACCTCTCGCAGTCAAAGTCCGGCTTCTTGGTTGGAGACCACATCAGCATTGCTGATATCTCTCACTGGGGATGGATCGCCAGTGCCGGATGGGCGGGAGTTGACATCGATGACTTCCCCCACTTGAAGGCCTGGGAGGAGAAGCTGCTTAAGAGGGAGGGAGTCGAGAAGGGCCGGCATGTTCCCAAGCCACATACCATCAAGGAAGTGCTAAAGGATAAGGAGGCCATGGAGAGAGAAGCTGCTAAGAGCAGGCAGTGGGTTCAGGCCGGCATGAAGAGCGATGCAAGCAAGTAAACAAAAGTTGCTGCTTACGATATCATCGCAATCATGTACGTAATATTTATGTCAGGTGATATCTGGATGGCGCCGAAGTGAAGAAAACTCTTAGTTTGGTACGAAAAAGCTTAATAATAGTCTATTCTGACATCACATACAATTGTTTACGATTCTGTCCAATAATAACTCACTATTTGATGTGTAATGATCTCTCTTTTGTATGATGGAAGGGCTGAATCATAACGCCACGTGATGCTTACATAAGAATGATGTAATAATTGCCCCTTGAGCTCTGGTTTATATCAGGCCGAAAAAAAGATCTCTGTCCTTCACGCATCTTGCCACGACAGATATATTCTCCATTCCTCGCTTGGTTGCGAATCCCAGCATCAACAACAATCATGGCGTGGCGTAACCAAGGTATTACCGGTTCTAACAATATCCCACTGGGCCGTCGCAGGTTTGGTGATGAGCCAGATGAAACTCCAAGCTCCTCGTCAACTCCAGCTCACATGGATGGTGGGAACAAGCGCGGCAGGAGTCCAGTGAGAGGTAAGTTCTCTCCCCAGCTCTACCACTATCAGAATATCTCTCATACTAACTACTTGTTATACAGCTGATCCTCCTGCGGATGGAACCAAGAGGCGAAAGAAGCGCAACCGCTGGGGTGACGCCCAGGAGAACAAGGCTGCTGGCCTGATGGGTCTTCCGACTCTGATCATGGCAAATATGACCAACGAGCAGCTTGAAGCTTACACTCTTCACCTGCGTATTGAAGAAATTAGCCAGAAACTTCGTATAAACGATGTTGTCCCGGCTGATGGAGATAGGTGAGTGATGACCTTTCTCCCTTTCTTATCATATCTTTGCCACGGGTCTAACACCACTTGTCATCTAGGTCTCCATCGCCGGCACCACAGTACGATAACCTTGGTAAACGTGTAAACACCAGAGAATACCGTTACCGCAAACGCTTAGAAGATGAGCGTCATAAGCTTATTGAGAAAGCTATGAAAGTTATACCTAACTATCATCCGCCCTCTGACTACAGGCGTCCGACTAAGACCCAGGAGAAGGTCTATGTCCCTGTTAATGACTACCCAGAGATTAACTTCAGTATGATAACTAACCCTCTAACTCCTAACCGTCCTACTCTTTCCGTCTCGTTCATTCATTCATTCATTTTTTTTTTTTTTTTTGGCTCCAGGCTCGAGATTTTCTCGACCTGCTAGTTTTTCATTTCTTTCTTTTTTCAACTTGTCATCAGCTTGATGGCTTTTCTATTTTTCTCTCCTCCCTTACATACTAACCCAGTTACTACTAATTCCTCCCATTCACTACTTGATATAAAAGACTTCATATACTAACACTGAGCTCACCTGTGATTAAAAGTTGGCTTACTTATCGGACCTCGTGGAAATACCCTCAAAAAAATGGAGACCAAGTCCGGAGCAAAAATTGCTATCCGTGGAAAAGGCTCTGTTAAAGAGGGTAAAGGACGATCTGACGCCGCTCACTCTAGCAACCAGGAAGAAGACCTTCATTGTCTAATCATGGCAGATACGGAAGACAAAGTTAATAAGGCCAAGGAACTTATTCACAATGTTATTGAAACGGTATGTCGTGCAGTCTCCCCAATACACCAGTTAAATAAAAATTTCCGAGAAAATTTCTAACTATTTGTTCTTTAGGCTGCTTCTATTCCCGAAGGGCAGAACGAACTGAAGAGGAACCAGCTGCGCGAACTTGCTGCGCTTAATGGAACTCTACGTGACGACGAGAACCAGGCCTGTCAAAACTGTAAGTCTCACAAGATACCCAAAATTAAACTAACTCTATTATATGATACCTAACACTCTAAATTCTAGGCGGTCAAATTGGTCATCGCAAGTACGATTGTCCCGAGCAGCGTAACTTCACTGCGAACATCATCTGTCGTGTTTGTGGAAATGCTGGGCATATGGCCAAGGATTGTCCCGACCGTCAGCGTGGTACCGACTGGCGCAACCATGGGCCCAGCGTTCGCGGCAAAGGAGCTGGAGCTGGTGATGCAGTTGACCGAGAGATGGAGGTACGTTTCTTTCATTCCTACCCGCATTTAATACAAACCTATACTAATACTTCACTACAGCAACTTATGCAAGAACTCTCTGGCAATGCTCCTCTACCTGGTGGTGAAGCACAGAAGCGCATTGAAGGTGGCCCTGGAGGATATGGTCAAGGCAACAACTACGGTGGTGATGACGTGAAACCGTGGCAACAGCGTGAGCCTGCCAGCAACACTCCACCATGGCAGCGACGTGACGATCGATCCCGAGATGATCATAGCCATCATGACCCGAATGCACCTCCACCATGGGCTACTGGTGGCCATAGAGGTGACCGAGACAACCGAGACCATCACGGTTACCAGGGGCGTGACTCTTACAACTCTGTTCCTGCCGCCGGTGGCCCTCCACCATGGCAGCAAGCTGCACAGCAAGCTCCAGCTATGGCCCAGGCTGCTGCTTATGGATACGCTGGGTATCAGTTCCCTACAAATCAAGTTATGGGCGCACCACCCGGCCTTAGTGGCATCCCTCCACCTCCACCTGGAATGGCTTCTATGTTCGCTGGCTTCCAGGGCGCTCCTCCTCCGCCTCCTCCGCCAGCTGATGGCCCACCCCCTCCTGTAAGTTCTCAAGGCTTTGCAGCTATATTTTACAGAAACTAACGTCACCTTTAGCCTCCAAGTGAACAGCCTCCGCCCCCACCTCCGCCTTCGGCCTAATTTCGACCAAATTCCGGAGATATGGAGAGATTTTCTGAGGAGCGCCTAACTACTAACCACTAGTCATGCCTTTTGTTTTGTCGTCGTTCACATTTTCTACTAACAGCCTTTAGGCAGTTTCTTGTTCCCTGAGGGGATGTCATACCTGAAATGGCTCCCATATGGGCTTATTGTTACTAACTGGACTTATGTGTAATTTTAAGGGAAATTGATGTCTGTATTCTTAACTATTTCTTCAGAAGTTGTATTTGTGTGAGGCATTCACCAAGTTCCAAGCCGTTCCACGCCGTTCCATATCTCGTAGCATGTCGCTATTCATCGAATTAAGCTCGGTGTAAAGGTTCCGTCTAGCTTTCAATTAATTCAATGGTCACCGCCGGTGTACGTTTTTCCGACGTCTCTTGCGGTGTTAGGTACTTAGCGGACTCAATCTTCAGTCTTGATAAATTTCCTCCGTTTCCCATTCGCAGAACACGGTAGCGGGCGGAAAACCAGGTGCATAAAGAAACCAATACCTCCGGTTCAGTTGTAACCCGGATAGCGGCTCAGCATACTTCAGATTTGCCTGATATTCCTGTTATCAAGAACACCATGACGGCTCAAGCGCCCAGTGGTGAAGTTCAGGCGGCAACAACGACTGCTGCGGCATCCAACACGGGATGGTGGAAGATTCGTTACTTCCAGGGAATGAAAAATGACATTGAAAGACGAGCACCATATTATTGGAGTGATTGGAGGGATGCATGGGACTATCGTGTCATTCCAGCAACTGTATACATGTTCTTTGCGAAGTATGACTCCAGCCGATGCCCTTAATGATGCTTGATATCGCTAGTCCATTTCTCTCTACCCCTATCCACAAGGCAAAAGCTTACGCGGAAAGTGTGAAGTATCCTGCCGGCTCTTGCCTTCTCGCTTGATATGTTTGAGAAGACGCATATGAGTTATGGGGTCAATGAGGTTCTTCTAGCATCCGTTCTAGGTGCTGTTGTTTTTGCTTTCCTGGCTGGACAGCCCCTGGTTATTGTTGGTGTAACAGGTCTGTGTATATTCCGTGCTACAATTTATAGTATTCTATGTCTAACCATGAGTTATAGGTCCTATCACAGTCTTTAACTACACGGTCTATGATATAATCGCACACAGAGGGACGAACTACCTGGCCTTTATGTGTTGGATTGGAATGTATGGAGGTCTATTGCCCTATCTCTGGAAATATATCTTACTAACAAATTATTGTAGCTGGTCACTTATAATGCATTGGGTTCTTGCAATCACAAATTCTTGTAACGGGTTGACCTTCGTTACAAGGTTTTCCTGTGATGTATTTGGATTCTACGTTGCCTTTATCTATATCCAAAAAGGGATCCAGGTCCTTACAAGGCAGTGGAGAATGGCTGGGGAAACTTCTGCATACCTCTCTATTATGGTGTCCCTCCTCGTTCTGATGTCTTGCTTTATCTGCGGCGCTATCGGGGAGAGCAATTTCTTCAACCGCCATACTCGGAAGTTTATCGAGGACTATGGCACCCCTCTAAGCATCGTCTTTTTCACAGGTTTCGTCCATATTGGTCAAATGAGGAATGTCAATGTTGAGACATTGCCTATTTCTAAAGCATTTTTCCCTACCTCCGATCGTGGTTGGCTTGTGCGTTTCTGGGATATTAGTGCTAGCGACATCTTCCTAGCCATCCCATTTGCAATCCTCTTGACAGTTCTATTCTATTTTGACCACAACGGTTTGTTCGATCATTTCTTATTTACCGACCACCAAATAACTAGTGGAAGTAAATTTCTGACACTATTTGTAGTGTCCTCATTGATAGCCCAGGGAACAGAGTTTCCGCTACGCAAACCTGCCGGATTTCACTGGGATTTATTCTTGTTGGGGTTGACAACTGGAATAGCCGGGCTGTTAGGTATTCCCTTCCCTAATGGCTTGATTCCCCAGGCACCATTCCATACTGCCTCTCTTTGCGTAACACGGCAGGTTGCAGATGAAGATGAAAACCACAAAGGAAAGTCTGTCCGGATTGTTGATCATGTTGTTGAGCAACGAGTCAGCAATCTTGCTCAGGGGCTGCTCACACTCGGAGCAATGAGTGGACCCCTTCTTTTTGTCCTCCACTTGATACCCCAGGCTGTAATGGCTGGTCTCTTTTTCATCATGGGAATTCAGGCTCTCCTAGCCAACGGAGTAACGCAGAAATTGAAATTCCTTTTGCAGGATAAGGAATTGACATCACCATTAAACCCTTTTCTAAGAATTGAGCGGAGAATGACAATTTGGGTATTCGTTGGAATTGAACTACTGGGATTTGGAGCTACTTTTGCAATCACGCAAACAATTGCTGCGGTTGGGTTTCCAGTTTTCATTCTGTTACTTATCCCCATTCGGTCATTCTTACTTCCAAAATGGTTCACCCAGAAAGAACTCTCCATTCTTGATGCGTCAACTGCCAGCTCGTTCACCATGGAGAGTGTTGCCAGGTCGTATGGAGATGCTCAACCTGAATCAGACAGAAGTCCTCACAATGGCGAAGAGGTGCCTGTGGTAGAGGGCGGGATTTTCGCAGGTGACTTAGAAACCGGGGATCTACACGAGCCACAGACAAGCACTTCCATTAAAAGAAGGAGTGAACGGATATAAAGCTAAGCGTTTATAGAATACAGGCACAGGTGTCGGATGTTGACGTTCGTTCTATTTCGTCCGAATTCCATTTGAACTTTCATGGATGGATTACTTCATTTATTACTAATAAACTCTCGGAAGGATATTATCATTACGCCGGGGGCTTATGATTCAGCCGAAAAAAGTAATGCAAACAATGCAAACAGTCCAAATACTGCAAAATATCAGCGGAATCTTATTATATACACCGCCTTCGACTAAAAATTATTTTCTGCCGCGACCATCTCAAGATAAAAACTGAAAAAGAAACAACAGTCGAAAGCAATGAAGTTGACAAGCGCTCGAAGATCTTGGAAGAGCTGCAGAATAATACACTGAAATGGCTGGTATCCTACATGCAGGCTCTGACTCCGAGGATTCGCGCTCTGAGTCCTCGTCCATTGCGCAAGATGAGAGAGAGACCGGTGGACAAGATGAACGGCCGCAAAAGCGACGACGGCTAACAGATTCCTCTGGAGACTTCCCGATAGCTCCAACAACACCATTTCCGGTCCAGACCCTATCACGAATCAAAAAAAAGGAGGTGAAGAATGAAAGACATGAGGAGGCTGCATCTCAAGCCGATCCAATTACCGCTAATGATGCGTTCGCAATGGGGCTTCAGTCAGTAGGTTCTTCGTTTTCTTCTTTGGGACTTGCTTCATGGCTGGTCAGCTCATTGAAGGCCATGGAAATCAAGCGGCCGACGGCAATTCAAAAGAGTTGTATACCGGAAATAATGAAGGGAAGGGATTGTATAGGCGGTAGTAGGACCGGTTCCGGAAAGACTGTTGCATTTGCAGCTCCAATACTGCATAAATGGTCTGAGGATCCTTTTGGAGTATATGCTGTTATATTAACCCCAACAAGGTACGGATATTTACATGAGATAGGAATATCTATATTATGATACTGATTCTTAATTTAGAGAGCTTGCTCTTCAAATATTCGAACAGGTTAAGGCCATTTCTGCGCCGCAGTCGCTTAAGCCACTTTTAATAACCGGCGGCAGTGACATGCGGCCTCAAGCGATTGGTCTCTCGCAGCGGCCACATATAGTTATTGCGACGCCAGGCAGGCTCGCGGACCACATTAAATCCTCTGGAGAAGATACTATAATTGGATTAAAGCGTGTCCGGATGGTAGTTCTCGACGAAGCGGATCGCCTTCTTACAAGCGGCCCGGGGAGCATGCTTCCTGATGTAGAGACATGTTTATCTGCCCTGCCGCCGTCTTCGGATCGTCAGACTCTTCTTTTCACAGCCACAGTCACTCCTGAAGTACGCGCGCTGAAATCAATGCCTCGAGCAAAGAACAAACTGCCGATCTTCGTTAGTGAAATATCCACGGAAAACACAACGATACCCCCAACCCTAAAGCAGACGTATCTCCAAGTGCCCTTGAACCACCGTGAAGCATTTTTACATGTTCTTCTGTCCACAGGTGGAAACTCCTCCAAATCTACCATTATTTTTTGTAACCGAACAAAGACAGCGGATCTATTGGAGCGCATCCTTCGCCGGCTATCACATCGAGTTACTTCACTTCACAGTCTCTTACCCCAATCCGAACGAGTTGCCAACCTTTCGCGTTTCCGCGCTTCAGCGGCTCGACTGCTGGTGGCAACTGATGTGGCAGCTCGTGGTTTGGATATTCCTTCAGTTGGGCTAGTCATCAACTATGATGTTCCCAGAAATCCGGATGATTATATCCATCGCGTTGGTCGTACAGCTCGAGCTGGACGAGAAGGTGAAGCTATAACGCTTGTGGGACAGAGAGATGTCCAGCTCGTTTTGGCAATTGAAGCTCGAGTTGGTAAACAGATGGTAGCATGGGAGGAACCAGGGGTGAATATTGAATCTCGAATCGTCAAGGGCACAGTCCTGAAAGAGGTTGGCTCTACAAAACGAGAAGCGATGGGTGAAATTGACGAGGGAAGAGATGTCCTAGGCCGCAGGGTCAGAAAATTGAAAAAGGTCCGGTAGTATGACAGCAGACTCTTGGGTAAACCAGTCAATTCACCCATATTATATCTATATGTATACCCATCTTAAGCAATTGCAAACAAACTCGACACTTATCTACAGCTCATTTTCGAGCTGCCTTTATCCTTCGCTTTGCAGAAGGCTCGGCCGCCTTTTCATTGCTATCGCCTTGCTCCCTCTTGCGCTTGGGAGCTACTTGGTAGCTGACTTTGCTGCCGCCGGTTTTCTCCCTCTCTTCTTTACCTCAGGCTCAAGAGGAGAGCCGTGGCTAGCACCGTCTTCCACTTCCCCTGCTCCGGCGCTTGTCCCTTCAGCGGCCTGACGGCCAGCGTCAGGATCCGCATCAGGGGCAACGGGCTGAGTTCTTGCTCGACGATGCCCCCCACGGCCTGTCTTTGCCTCTGTATTGGCTGCCATGCACGCTGCCTTCCGTTCTTCCTCCTCCCTCTGCGCCTTCTGCGCCCTCTCTCGCAGCATTGCTGCCTTGTCGACCCATTCCCCAGTCTCAAACACCCAAACAAATCGGAGAGGAGGCACTTGTTCATTCACTTCAGCCTGTGTGGGGTCTCCAACCGCCTCGTAGCGGTGGTAGACATCACGGCTAAGGAGGTTAGTAGGGGAAGTATGGTAGGCTAGTGGTGGAATATGCAACTCACAGCTCTTCATCCCCAGCCCATCCTAGGCGTACGCGCCAATAGTCGACATCTTCTCCCTTGTCTTCGTGGTTTCCGACAAATGACATAAGACATCCCACTGTTTGGGCCACTGTCAGCCAAGTACTTCACACTATACCGAGTGAATGAAATGCTAAGCAGTTACCTCTTCGCGGGTGGACTACGACCTTCTCTGCTGGGTTTTGTTTTATCTGCCACCTTGACCTTCTTCGAGGCTCTGGCCTTTCCCGGGGCCATTTTTCTTCCTTTTGAGGAAGGAAAGCCTTGCCTATGTGCAAGCAGTCGCAGTTAAATCAGTCTTTATGGCGGTTTCCGGTGTAGGATGACTTCGTGTAGATGGCATGATATGGTATGAGACACTCAAGATAGAAGATATCCACAGCAACTCTGAGGAAAGATAAGAGAGTAGTGAGAAAGGGGTTGTAGCATATTTATACACTCGGGGGTGACATATTAACTAACACCGAATAGACCACTTTTGGCACTCTATTTGTACCTATTGTGGCTTCAATATCGAGGTTATGTTTTCACACATTCTCCATTGTTATACTCAATGAAGATCAACAAACAATTATATTTTGGACTTTGTCTTTTGTTTCTAGCTCAATTGGTCTATCAAAAGCTTCCTCAGCCTTTGTTTATTCACAAATCCATTATATTTGGCGGTTTGCTTATTATAAAGGTCTACGCAGCTCGATCCTGGGGCGCTGTGTACAAACACATGCGTTTCGGCGTATGGTAGTTGGTAAGTCTATAGCAAACAACTGCTACTATTTTTTCCGAATACTAGATGGATGACAGTTTTTATTTGACTTCCTTGACTACGTATTCAACTATAGCGATCTGTAAATAGCTGCCACTAATGGGAAAATAAATCAGGAGGTAACTAGGAGTTCGATGTTATGAATAGCTGCTCGCTGGGAGTGATAGAATTAATAGGAGTAAGCTTCACTCCAAGGCCGGATTTACCCCCTGGAATTGAGTCAAGTTTCACCTATTTCCAATTCAATATCCAACTTGGGCCAGGAACACTCAAGGGAATACACGTTGGTTAATATTCAGGGCGGTAGTCCGCATTATCAACCCCAAATTTGTCTAGAGTCACGCTGACATAGGTTGGTTTCCCCCTTTTCCCTTTGCGAGAAACCACCCCAGTCACCCTTTTAATAGTCACTGTGTCCTCAGTTTCCTGGTCCTTGGTAGCCTCCGCCTCCCAGTCCTGAGGCAGGGACATTCTACCAGCTGGTCCTCCTTTACCCTTCTTCTCAAGCTGTCGTAGTTTTCTCTCTTCCTTTGCAACAGCACGACGCTTCTTCTCAACGTACTCGTAAATGTCATAGTCATAGTCACGACATTGTATTTTGAACTCTTTGTACTGAGCCCATCCACGCAAGCGTCGTTCAAAGACCGCATCACCAATACTTCGAATCACGATTTGACGTGGCTCCGAGTCCTTAGGGAAGAAGTTGTAGATCAACCTGACGTCGTCTACCCGGATTTGGGTGTTGGCCATCTTATTCATCCGGTTAAGCATGTCTTCGCAAACCAAATCCACCGAAAGGATCTTAGCAGCTTCAAAGACCCTGGCATACTTGGTATAATTCATTCGCTCGATCCAGACTAGACCTTGGCCCTCGCAGGATTTCATCATCCAGTTAAAGATTATTTTAAATGCTGGCTTCAAGCTACCGTATATAGTAGCTATTTTCTCTCCATCACATCCACGGCGATTGGCATGAGCTACACCTGCAGCCGGAAAACAGTCCTTGAGCACAGGGGAGAAGTATGCTACCATATTCCTAGGAATAGCGTTCAGGAGACCTTGGGGTGTGCTGTTCGGAGAGGCTGCGTGCATCAGCTTGACCTTGGGCCCTGACCAGAGGCTGCATTGTCCGGTGGTGGGTGTTAGGGCCGAAGAGAATAGATCACATATGGTAGGGGAGTTCTCTTACCTACGAAGCTGAGGGCCGATGAGCTTTCCCATATCTTCTTCTTGAATCAGGGGCAAGCGCTAACAAACAGCTGAATGGTTCTCGACGAGCAAATATAACCTCCCGGCCCAAGAACGTTTCCGTGGTCGAGGAGGTGCGAGAAGATGAAGTTAGAGTGGTGTAGGAGAGCCACCAGGGGGTTTATATCTATGAAGTCAGAGTGAGTTAAAGGTGGCTATGTCAAGGTATTTCACTTACTTTGGCTGCTAGCTCTTTCCATATACCTGGAAGCAAGTACTAGCCATCTAGTCCTCCTGTGAAATATATAGATATTGAATAAATATGGAAAATAATGTACCAATCACTATTTTGCCTCTTTAATAACTATAGATAATAGGCAATCAAATTAGTGAAGTGATTGTTGAACAAACATCAAAGGAATTCTACTCGTTGAATATCTTGTATGATCAAGCTTATTATTTTCAGTTTGGATAACCATGGTATCAACAGGAGAAGAAAGAAAAAAGAAAAAGACAGTCGAGGATGGCATTGCTGCCAGCATCCTCAAGTGAACATAACTAAAAGGCATAGGGGAAACAGTCCTTTCTGTGCAGTTGTTATTAGTAGTTAAAAGTACAAGCTCTTCAAGTTTAAAAGGCCCCCAGATCCATTATCATACACCTTTATGGACCAGTCCACTCATCCAATGCATCATACTCAGAGGTGGTCTTCATAAGCCTCAGAAGTCCATCTACTGCGATCTCATGGTTAACTCTAAGCACTTTCCTATCGGCCGTGGTTTTTTCTTTTGGAATAACAGGAACGGTTGCTGCATTGTTGACATTTTGTGGCTGCACTGGCTGATTGTTTCTTGCTGGTTGACTCGGCAAGGGAACTTGAGGCTGCTGGTTCATATTCTGCTGTGTTGGAGTGGCACCATGATCCCCGTTCTTCTGACCATTATTCTGGCCAAGCGAAGCTATGGAAGAGCCTTGCTGCACCCCTGGGGCCAAATCAGGGCGTGTTTCGGAACGAGATGAAGAAGGGGTTGCTTGTTGGTTTGCATGTTGGCCTAAAGTCGAGGAGGCATTCCATGTCTGACGGCTCTTAGCTTCAAGCTCTTTGATGCGGCGGTCTATTTCGCTGTAATCCCTAATATTTTTCATGGCTGTTTGGACCTTTTCTCGGAGTAACCCGGCTTTCTAATGAAGAAGTTAGCTTGTGCAGGGCAAAAGAGCAGATAAATAAATAAATAAATATATCTTACCTGTTGAATAAATAGCTTTCTTGCCTCTGGGTCGGTGGGTATAGAAGAGGAAAACGATATTGTTTGATCTCTTGTAGCCTTTTGTGGGGCATTAGGCGAGCTTAACGGGGAGTTCCGTTTAGCGTTATTAATATTCCTATTGTTACTATGATTGCCACTCTCAGACTCAAAGCTCAAATTAAGGAGCGATGAGATACTAGTGCTTTCCTGTGAGCATCCTTTCTCAGCAGCTTGCTCCTGACTATCAGAGACTTTATTATGTGAAGAATACTGCAGGAAGGATGTCTAGATCTGTTAGCATCTAGCATTATCCATTTACTTAGTTCATATGCCATGGGAGAAACATACTTCTTTATCAATATCCATACTGGAATGTGTGCTCTCATCGTAGATATAAAACTCGTCCTCCCTCCTATTCTGGCTATTAAACGAACTGGTGGCGGTGCTAGGTCTATGTTGGTCTACATCGACCTGGTCTATAGTCCGTTTCTTTCCAACAAGTTGGATAGGAGACGACGGGGTATGGTTCCTAGTCACCTGCTTACTAAAATTATCGTCACTGCCCATGCTCGGCTCCAAGTTGTGCTTTCGAGGCGACAGCAGCGCGTTTGTCGTCTTGTTGAGAAGAACAGGCCGAGGAGGTGCAGACGAGGCTAGGGACATGTTTAAGGGTATTATTGCTCCTGGACGAGCTTGAGCGGGAGATGGGTAAGCTGCCCGCGAGATGGTAAACCGCATTCAAACAATTCGAGATTCTAGTTGCAGCTATATGTACTCCACGTTAGGTGATGATGATGCAGTTAGGAATTTGAGCAGGCAGCTAGCCACCCTAGGTCAAGAACTAACAGATGAAACCAAGTACCACTCAATATATACTAGGCGCCTGGGAAGATATTCGAAGATTTTCCCAATGACTGTACAAAAGCGCGGTCTCGTCCAAAATGGTGCTTGATGTAAACAGTCGCGTCTGCTCGGTTTTACAGTCTATGGACGCGTAGCTTGCGTCGAGGGTTGACCTTGGAGGCTCTTATCGATAAGCGCGGATTACCTTAATTGAATCGTCCAATCATCATGCGGACTACCAGGATTGGCTGCTTAGTAACCAAACTCTCTTTTATATTCCTGCAATTAGCCAATCAAAAGATTTTAAATCTTAACGCCGTGTAAAAACCCAGTATTAGCCAGTTTTATCGCCGCAAAGTAAGTTTGGTATTTTTCCCTTTTTCCTCTCGCGGGGCAGAGGTGGCCGTATTATTTCCTCCACCTTGACTCATTCTTGCTTCAACTCATAAGTAACAGCCGAGAACTCGACTTGGAGAAGCAGGTCAGCGAACAAGAAAAGCTTTAAAAGTCCTGTTAAAGGGCATTAGGAAGAGTATCTAACTCTCGGATAGCAAGATCAGGAGAGCCACAGTGAGCGCAGCAGCCTCTCGTACCCCTCCAACCGATGCAACAACGCAATAAATCTGACAAGTTATCCTAACAGATGTCTGTTCTTACCGTTGCCCTGAAGGCTCCTGGAGAGACAATCCTTCCAGCTGTTGCTGTGGCCAGCTGTCTCATAGCTGCCAATCCTAAGGCTGGATTGAGCATTGTCTACGAGGAATCTGAGAAGGTTGGAAGCAAAGGTGGAAAGGTTGAGCTCAAGACAGACAATAGCTCCCTGCTCTACGACGCCGAGATCATCCCTTATTTACGCGACAAGTATGAGGTTCTACAGGCTGGAAATAAGGAGCAGGTAAGTTTTCGCCCTCGTTGAGCAATGTCTTGTCTCTACGTTTGGCATTGAGCTAACTTTAACCTCTAGGTTGATGAGTGGTTGAAAAGGGCTCTTGAGTTCACAAAGCCTGACTTCAAGGCAATGGATAAGCCCATGAAGGAGCTGGAGTCTCATCTCATCCTCCGCTCTTACATTGTGGGCTATGGTTTAACCTTGGCCGATTTGGTTGTTTGGGCTACTCTCCGTGGAAACCGGGTTACGAGTGGAGCCGTGAAGAGGTTCACAAACAGTACTGGTAGATGGTTCAACTTCATCGAGACCATGTACCCTTGGATCGGTCAAGGTGCGGCCGAGATGGCGGCCGGAGCCATGAAGAAGAAAGCAGCAGCTAGTGCCGCGGGTGCTAGTTATAACATTGGTCTTCCGGATACCGACAAGGGAGTAGTTACTCGATTCCCACCAGAGCCATCCGGTTATCTTCACATTGGCCACGCCAAAGCGGCTCTACTTAATGATTATTTTGCGCACGAGGCCTACAAGGGAACGCTCATTTGCCGATTTGATGATACCAACCCTTCTAATGAGAGCCAAGAGTTTGTTGATGCAATCACTTATGACTTGTCATTGCTGGGAATCTTCCCTGACCGCATCTCGTTCTCCAGTGATTACTTCCAGGAGATGTACGAGGACTGTATTAAGATCATTAAGAGCGGCAATGCCTACGCAGATGATACTGAGAAGGAGCAGATGCAGCATGAAAGATTTGAGGGAATTGCTAGCAAGCGTCGTGATGAAAGCGTTGAGGATAACTTGGCTCGGTTTTCTGAGATGAAAACCGGCTCTGAGGAAGGCCAGAGATGGTGTATCCGTGCAAAGATTTCTGTTGATGATACCAACAAGGCCATGCGTGATCCGGTTATCTACCGCTGCAACCTAACCCCTCATCACCGTACGGGAGATACCTGGAAGATATACCCAACATATGACTTCTGCGTGCCAATTCTAGACTCTCTTGAAGGCGTTACCCATGCCCTGCGTACTAATGAGTATAACGACCGAAACCCGCAGTATGCCTGGTTCCAAAAGACACTCGGGATCCGCAGTGTCCATATCTGGGACTTCTCACGTCTCAACTTTATCAAGACGTTACTATCTAAGCGGAAGCTTACCAAGATCGTTGATCAGGGCATGGTTTGGGGCTGGGACGATCCCCGAATGCCCACCATTAGGGGTATTCGTCGTCGTGGAATGACTATTCCTTCTCTGCGGGAGTATATTCTGAAGCAAGGGCCTAGCCGAAACATCATTAACATGGACTGGACGACCTTTTGGTCCAACAACCGCAAGTACATTGACCCGACATCCCCACGTCACACGGGTATTGACCAGGAGGATATGGTGCCAGGCACAGTATCCGGTGCCACCGATGCTGATCTGAAACCACAGGAGAAGCCAAAGCACCCAAAGAACCCCGAGCTGGGTACCAAGACAGTGTACTACTCTAAGGACATTTTGTTTGAGCAGGAGGACGCCAAATCATTCAAACAAGACGAGGAGATCACCCTGATGAACTGGGGCAATGCAATTGTGCGCAAGATCACCACGGATGCGACCAGCGGGAAAGTCACCGGCCTCGACCTCGAGCTCCATCTTGCAGGAGACTTCAAGAAGACAGAGAAGAAGGTCACATGGTTGGCCAGAGACCAGAAGCTCGTCCCTGCCGAAATCTACGAGTTCGACTACCTGATCACTAAGGACAAGATCGAGAAGGACGAGGACTTTGAGCAGTTCCTTAACCCAAAGACGGAAATCAAGCACACCATCCTGGCTGACTGCAACCTGGTGAACCTGAAGAAAGGAGAGAGCATGCAATTCGAGCGCAAGGGCTACTACATCCTCGACCAGGAGCCCAAGGATGGTCAGCCTGCCATCCTGTTCAACATCCCAACCGGTAAGTCTTAAAGGAGTGCGCCGCCGGACGAACGGTAGAATGATAAGGACCCTGCATGTATGTAACTACCAGGCAAGCTCTAGTTAGCTATTTAATTAACTGTATCGGCCATCCGGCACATGACTGCAAACCACCCGACTGTAACAACATCCTCAGGGCTTCAGGATCCTCCAGTCCTCAGCGTCAATTAGCCAAACCATCCGTAAGACAAGATCGATCTGCTCTGCCTCTCTCGGTAGATCGCCGTGCTCCCTGAATATCAGAGCTACCCGCCTGGCTAGCAGCGTTTCTGCGATGCAACACCCGACCCCCGACCGTCCAACAACCATCCAGTGATACCAGTCCACTGCCTGTCCGACATACATAAGCGCATTGGAATCACGACTGCTGGACGAGAGAATCCATGCAGTGCGAGGGCAGACGGAGACCACGCCGCCTCCAGGTGATACAGCCATAAGGGCCAGAGCCATCATCGCCGCCGGCCGTCAACATCAACAACCGTCAGCCATCAGCCATGAGCCATCGTCAACCCGCATCACCAGGCATGGGGGAGCTGCCCCCCCGGGGCCCCGCGGTGGCTGCTTACCTCACTGGCCTGCATGGTTCGTTACCCCAGATGGCGGGCGGAAGTCAATCCATGTCAAAGAGCTAAGCTGATCAGCCGTTTGCAGGAGCAAGTGACGCCGCCGCCTGACCCTCAGGCCTTCTCTCCCGGCTACATACGACCACCACACACAACTACAACACAGTGGATGGCTGGCCCATAGACTCCCCCTTCGATGATTGACTAGATAAGGGAGTCGATCCCCCGCAACAGCTCGAGAGAAGCAGTTGGCCGGTTAGCTAGTTACTCGACCACTCTGCCCTGCCGGCCGGCTACTTTGCCTTGTTTTTTACGCTACAATGCTGCCCTGGATCCTGCTCGCGTGGGCGGTGGCCTACTCCGCCCTCGCCGGGGCATCTCGGCTTACCCCCTCTGTGCTGCCGCTGATTGTCAGAAACCCGTATCTCAGCACCTGGCTGGCCGATGCGAGACATGAGCCGTGGTCGTCATGGCCTATCTTCTGGACCGGACAGCATATGGGCATGAGCATCATGGCCCATGTACCCAGCACGGGGAACACCTATCCCTTGCTTGGCCGGCCTCACGACTCCTTGGGGCCGAACAATCCAAATAACAGGTGCGTATATGTCTAGGCCTATATACATCTGTCTAACCGATGATAGATATAATGTATCCTACGCTCAGTTTCTGGGGTCAAAATACGATGCCTCAACTACCAACATGACGTACCTTATCCAGCCAGAGGGTAAACACCTAGCCGGTGAATCCGTGAAGATAACCATCACCTTTCTCTCGCCAATTACTCCGACCTCGACCCTGCGCCAGTCTATTCCTGCCGGTTATGTCACCGTTCGCGTGGAGGGAAATATGAATGTCAACATATACATGGACATGAACGGTGAATGGGTCACAGGAGACCGTGGAAGCTCGCTTATCTGGAAGATGGATAACATTGTTGACACTAAGAAAGGGGAATCTCTTTACCAGTGGCAGGTCAGCAGAAAGACAGAACAGCTCTTCACCGAGTTCCAGGACCGAGCAGAATGGGGAATGCTACACTTCCTTGCTCCCCAGGTAGGGTCTCCTTCGAACTACTTGGCAACCTAGATACTAACTATATAAATAAGGGAGTGAGATATGAATCTGGAACATCGATGCTCTTGAGAACTAGATTTGCAAGAACTGGTGTCTTGCAAAACAGAAATGATGAGCGTTTCCGTACCGTCATGGATGAGGAGCCGGTCTTTGCTTATTCCAAGGCCTTCAATCTGAATGGAACAGATGACGAGCCAAATATAGAGGCTATCCATGATGAAGTCACCTTCACCATTGCTCATACCCAGGATCCTGTTGTCCAGTTTGCCTCTGCCCGTGGTTTGACTCTTATGAAGCCCCTCTGGGAGTCATATTTCCCAGATGTGAAGAGTCTGCTCAATTTCCACTATTTTGATTTGGACAAAGCCAGGATTCTTGCGCATAGATATTCGAACCAGCTTGCAAGAGATGCCCAGCTATCTGCTGCTGAAGACTATGTAGATGTCGTTTCTCTTACCGCCAGGCAAGTCCTCGGTGCCACCTCCTTCTCCGGAACCTCAGATAATCCACTTCTCTTCCTCAAGGAGATTTCTTCCAATGGAAATTGCCAGACTGTAGACGTCATATTCCCTTCGTTCCCATTTTTCCTCTATACCAACCCCAGGTGGTTAGCGTATCTCCTGGAGCCATTAATCGAGCATATGCTAAGTGGACAATACCCTAACAACTACTCCATGCATGATCTGGGTGCCCACTTCCCCAATATGACCGGACATCCGGATGGAAAGGATGAGTACATGCCTGTCGAGGAATGCGGTAATATGCTTATCATGGGTCTGTCTATTGTCAATTCCCTAAGATTCCCACCAGAGGCCAATACTACTGCTCCCCGGTATCCAGGCACCCTCGAGGCCCGAGACGCTGAACCAGATGTTGTTGGACTGTTCCCTCTTCGTGATCTTCAGACAGTTGGTGGTATTGACAGACTCGATAGCGTCTGGGGTGTCGGGCCCGATGCCACAAACTTGGCGCGGAAATGGGTTGAGAAATCGTATAGGCTTTGGAGACAGTGGACTGGTTACCTTGTTGAGTTTTCTCTAGAGCCGCATAACCAACGTAGGTTCAAGAATCCCTGCCAAAGATTTATAGATCCTGCTAACCTTTTCTTAGTCTCCACTGACGACTTTGCTGGATGGCTTGCGCTTCAAACCAATCTTGCCCTCAAGGGTATCGTTGGTATAAATGCAATGAGCGAGATGTCTAACTTTGTTGGAAAGACTGATGACTATAAATATTTCAAGGTCAGCCACGCTGCATTGTTTGTAAGTAGGAAAAACCTTGAACTAACTGGCACTAGAACATTTCCGATACCTATATCACCAAATGGGAAGGCTTTGGATTCTCCAGAGACGGCACCCACGCCAAACTCTCATATGACTGGTATGGCTCCTGGACTACCCTATACAACATGTTTGCGGATGCCCTTCTCTGCTTCCATCTTGACGGAACGGAGTATGATACCCACCCCCGTACACTTGACGATCAGGAACCAATAGCTCCACCCCCAGGCAAAATTGGTTTCATCCCAAGGCGCGTCTATGAGAAACAATCAAAGTGGTACACCACTGTACGCCAGAAGTATGGCCTCCCACTTGACAGCCGTCATCTCTACACGAAGTCCGATTGGGAGTTCTTTTCCATGGCGGTTTCCAGTCCCTCCGTGCGAAGTGAAATCCTCCAATCGTACGCCAAATGGGTCAATGAAACCTCTACCGATCATCCTCTTACCGATCTGTACAAGACGGAAGAAGATGGAGGCTATCCGGGACCAAACTTCTTTGCTAGACCCGTCGTTGGTGGGCATTTTGCCTTCCTTGCCTTGGAGAAGGCGTGCAATGGTAAGGCCACCGATGGGCTTAAATTCTTGGATGACAAGGATAACAACTCCCCCGAGGATGCCCCGGAGGACGCCCCCGAGGACGGTGTCCACAATGGTGATGCCGATAAAGAAGACTCTCAGTCCCCTATCCAAGACTCAGCTGGCTCGGAGGTGAAAGTCGGAGATCAAGCTCAGTTCCCCATCCAAGACATGGATGACTCGCAGATGACTATCGTTAATGAGGATGACTAAACGAGCCAGCACTGGAGGGACCCGTTGTTTCTGATATTATTCCCCCTTCCTTTCTCATTGTCGTTATTTGTACTGCTTTCCCCCACAACCCACTTCTCTTTTTATTATATACTGCTTGCTTCAACATGGCGTTTCTTTCGGACATTCGTTCGGATTCTTTATCCGTTAAGAACCTCTTCCTGCCCTTGGCTTTTCTGTGGCTAGATGGTGGTTTCGTGTCCTCCCCGACAAGGCGAGAATAGACCAATGCCGCAGATATCTTGCTGCTGTGCGGCGAGAGACTAGATAGTTACTACTTTTGCTGGTCAAGTTCAGAGACACCTTGGTTTTATCGCAGATCAGATCCAGGGAATTAAATCAAATCGTTATTTTCAATATGTATTATCCCTGCCCTTAAAGCCTAGTATCATACATCATAGATATGGAGAGAATTTTTGCAGGCCGCTGTACAGAGTACCTCCAGTGTCAATTAACCAGTGGGTTTGTTGCGCCTGGATACGGCCATAAGGTCAGCCAAACCCGCCCATCCTGAAGTCGACTTGGAATCTGAGTAACTAAGTAATGGGACAAAAGTAAAACGTGAAGAAAGCATAAGTGAGAAAGGAAAGACTAAGGTCAGTGTTTCGTCAGGATATTAAATCAAAAATACAGTCGAACCCCAGTGAAACCGGGCAACAGTGAAAAGTGAATTGCAAGAGTAGGTATTCAGATTGTTCTCCTCCTTTTTTTAGTCATACTGGGTGGAATAAGGAGTGACTGAATCTAAGGTGATTCATCTTCGCATCCAAGGGAAAGGAGGATCGGTCATAACATTGTACTGAGGAGGACGAGACTCCAAACGACGAGAAAAGGCAGCAAAAAGGTCCCCGCGAGCTTTCTTACGAGCAGATGGCAATGGCTCGCATTCTGGAGACCCAGTCACACAATCGTACCAGTCACGGCTGCTGATGTGTGGGCGAAATTCTGGCTCAGTAGTGAAACCAATTGCACGAGCTTCAGCAACAAGATCTTCCAGAGCATTAGGCGTTGGGTCTCTCGCCTGTCGACCAAAAGGGAGGTAATTGTACCGAGACACGATTTCCTCCTCGCCGTTATCATGGTACACAAGCATGGGCAGCAGTGGTTCGCGAACAGCCCTGCGGTGTGGTGGCAGCTCTCGAGCAGGAGGCACCATGGGAGATGGGAAAGAAGGGAATTGAGCCCGGCGAGGGGGCAGAGATATTTCTCTGCTGACTATTTTACCCTGGGACGACCAGCCGAGTTGGCGGAAGGGAAGTGATTTCTTGTAGACCTCGTAGCCGCCGCATGAGGAGCCTTTAATTGGTGGGAGTAGATCTGGCTCTAAGGCCCTGAAGGCCGGGTAAGGCGTAGGAGGAGGCGATGGGCTCTTATAGGCGCTTTCTTCTTCCTTGACTGGGGATGTGTTGCCCTCGTTGCACTCAGGGCCGTTCGAGAGGCGGGTGTTAGGAGTGTCTGTGGTCTCTGAGCCACATATCTGATATTCGTCTGCATTGTGCCCCTTGTACTTCTTGTCGAGCACCAACTGGTGCTCCGGTGTCGACCGCATGCCGACCGCATATCCATTGGCAGTTTTGAGGCTGCCAAAATCGAGATTGTAGAGGTGCTCACGCTCTCGCTCGCATTCGAAGTTGACTCGGGGCTGAGGACCTGGGCTGTCCAGGGCAAAGATAGAACAGGTCGAATGAGCGGTAGTTGGCGTCTTGACAACCTTGTAGTAGAAGTCCATTTTTCTCAGACGTATATCTAGTGAAACTTCAGGGTATTTAGATATCAGACTGGAATTTGAGAAGGGAATTATTGACGGTGCCTGGGAGTGGCAAGTAGTGATAGCCGCAGATGAGAAGATCAAGATATCAAGAATGTGCGAGCGCGAGCTGGCTAAGCGAGCAGACGCCGATAATTCCAGCCACCAGGAGGACAGAGCCTGCTGAGCAAGCCTAGAGGGAAAGCTCTTTGTTCAGGGAGCGCGAGGGTGAAGCTGTGTTCTTCACTGCGTTCAGATTCAAGGGGCTGGGGATCGAGGGAGAGAAGAGGCTTCTGCAGATTTCCAAAGTGAGGAAGAGATGGCGTTCAATGTTGATGACCATCGATATCTCCTGACCAGATACGCTATGTCAAGTCATGAAAATGGTATATTGTAGATGTCTCTCTGACATTTGACTGGGCCTTTGCTCCAGTGGTATTCAGCGGCAAACAGGGGGACATATGTAGCGTCTCTATATAGAGCAGCAGGCATGTCCCATCCATGTCTTTCGTATGTTAGATAGAATAAAGACGGGCAGTAGGGTATAGCCGTCAATATAGATCATTAAAAAATGCTCTTTCGATTTGATTCCCCTAGAAGATGTTAGAAACGAAGACACGTTCAAACCCACCTCTACATATCAAAGCTTTCAGCGCCATTTAAAGGGAGAAACAGACACGAGTAACCCCTACTTGTATGGCAGAGACGAGCTTAAGACGGCAAACCAAATAATTTCCCCCTAACCAATTGCGACCCCTGTAGGAAGAAATTAAGAGGTAAGGCAGATCGGAGGGACAGAAAATTAGGGGGAGAAGCTGTAGAAAGAAGGGAACAAGAGAAGGATCAATTCATGAAGCAATATAGTATCATGACGCAGGAGACAAAGTAAAAAGGCCGGAGGAGAAAGAAGAAGAAAAAAGTCCATGAAGATATGAAACAAAAAATTCGCCTCCAATTGTTTCCCCTTTCTCCCAATGGCCGTCTTTGCCTCTCCCTTTCCCATGATCAGCTTTTGTTGGATGAAGAGTATTAGAAACATAAAAAATGGGCCTTTTATTGATTCTCTGCTTAGATGAAATTTTTGTTAATTGCATCAAGAAAGAAAGGAAAAAAAGTTATTTGTTAGTTGAGTAGCAGCCTTGGTGTAAGACCGGCCCTGTCACCCTTCTTAGGGAGCCAGTCCATGCACATGGAGCTGTAGAGATCTGCTCGCTTATTTGCCTCCAAGAGAAGGGAAGTTCTTCTCGTCGACGGTAGGGCCGGTAGCGTGGGAAGGTCCGCCGCGAGGAGCTCCGCGACCGTTTCCACGGCCACCACGGAAATCACCACGTCCGCCACGGCCGCCACGACCGCGATCGCCGCCACGGTCACCACCACGGCCACGGCCACGGGAGGAGTCACCACCACGTCGCGGGACCTCAACGAAGCGCATGTCGACTTCAAGGATATTCTTCTCCTTGCGTTGGCGCTCGCGCTTGCTCTCCTTGCTCTGGCCCTTGATGTACTCGTCTTCCTCGTCATCGCGCTTCAGCTCCTTGGCGGCGGCCCATTTCTTGTCCATCTTAGCACCCTCATTGGCCTTGCGGGATTCTTTTGCGGCAAGTTCGAGCTTGGCCTGGGCTTGCTCAGCGAGGTAGTCGGCATATGATTTGCTCTTGTCCTCTGGCTCCTCAACAGGCTCCTCAGCATTAGCCTCCGCGGCTTCTTTCTCCTCGGTGCGGGCAATATCTTCTCCAGCACGCTCATCCCTCAAAGCAGACTCGCCAGAGCGAGAACCCCAGCCCTGTTCGACCTGCTTCTCTGTAATACTGCATATGGGCAAAAAATAACATTGATTAGTAGCCGCTCTTGATAGCAAAATAAAATCTCACAATATTAAAGATAACGATAATAACAATAGTAGTACTTACGTTCTGTCGGTGCGAGATTGACGGTCATCCCGAATGTTGTTACCGCGGGTATCACGGTTTCTATGGGCAGCTGGCGGAGCGCGGTCACTGGGGGTATCGGTTGGCCGGTTGCGGTTGTTCTGAGATCCAGCATTGCGGTCACGGAATGCTGATATACCCGAATCACCTTGTTAGAAAGCAACGTCCCTATAGATTGATTGATATTGATGATAATGACATGGCGGGTAATTTGGTTGTGGTCGTGCTTGCCCACGTGACATCATAGTGGAAAAATCGCCACAGCCAAAAATAAATAAAAAAAGGTGGGATTGATAGAGATATCGCGGGTATGGAAGAAAGATTGAGTATAGTGTATTTACCTTGCTCGTTTCCAGGGAGTCTGGGTCCACGGTTGCCACGAGGAGGAGCAACAGTGTCGCGAGGCTCGCTTGGACCGTCGCGCTTGCCACGGCGAGGAGCGTTCTTGTCGACGACCTGAACTGGAGGTTCCGGCTCTCGATTGGGATCGAGCTCAGGGTCGTTGCCTGTGTGTTGGGCGTAGATGTTAATGTCTGTAGGTCAAAAAAGTAGCCGACAGCCTGGGGACGGGGGGGGGGAGGTATAGTGTGTTCCGAGAAGCAGCAGCGTCTATTCGATGGTAGGTAGCAGGATAATTCATACCAAGAAGCTCGTAAATGTTCTATATCAACACCCCCCAAAAAAAAAAAATGTCAGCTAGCCGATCGAAACGATGCATCGAGCCCTCTCAATTGCTCATGTAGCGAGCTACCGAGCAAGAGAACATGTACAGGAAGGGCAAGCCGAACGCACCTTGGACCGGACGTCCGCCATGACGCCTGGATTTGATATTGCCTTCCTTGGAAGGCTTTCTGTTTATTGCAACAATTCGGGGATATGGAGCGACCTGGACTCCAGAACAGAAGGCAGAAAACCCCTTAGCGAGCAAAGGAATTCGGCCTCGTGTGCTGTGGCGATGCGGTGTTGTCGACGGTGCGAAGGAGGTGTTGTTTTTTCGCTGTCGCTTTCTCGCCCGTCCGCTTATTTGCCTTCTTTTGCTGGCCTGCGTCGCTCTTTTCGCGCCCGCCCGGAAAAAAAGCGCCCTAAGCCTGTTTGGGAGTGCAGCTTTTTGCTTCTTCGGGTTAAGCGAGTTTGCTTGGGCCGCGCGGGGGAACGTCGGGCCGGCGCTTGCGGGCAACGGGACTTAGGGCTTAGGGCAGATGCCCCAAAGAGGGAGGACGTCGATAGAGACCATAAGACAATGACAGAGATACACACAGAGATACAGACAGAGATACGCAGCCAGGCAAGATATACAGTACTGATGATAATGATGAGCATTGTCCATACATAAAGTGGGTATCGAAAGAAGTCGTTTTATTTTATCCTCCTCTTCCCTTCCTCCAGCAGACAAACGACAAGAAAAAGCAAACAAACAAGCTTAACGCCTCGAAAATGCAGCAGACTCCCTCCTTGAGCTGACTGTAGATCCCTTCCTCCACCTGCAAAGTAGCAGGTCCCGAGTAGCTAACGATATACTCCATAAAATAGCTCCAATACGTCGTACCAACGTAGGCCCATTTTGGCCTGGCCAGATTGGTCCGGCATGGTCAAAGATGTTGCATAACCAGTCACGTCAGAACGATATATAGATGCAAGAGATTTCTTATCCCCCTTCCTTTACCTTACTGTCGGCCGTGGCTCTGAGTATAGGTAAAGGGTGTGGGGAAGTGCATGCTGGCGGACAAGCCGAATGGGTCGGGATCCATCATGGGGTCGAATTGTTCAATATACGACGTGCTAGCCGTCATACCTTCAGCATCGCTGCTGGTTGATATCGGGTGATGCCGTTGCTGTATACGTGGCAGAGACTGAGACTGGTAGTCTGCTGCAGTGCTGCCCTCTGGCGGATCAGGTCCGTCCACGGAGCTTGAACGAGCGTCATATTCCTGTTCTGCACGACCAGTGTTAACAAAGTAGTCTCGGGGATATAAACATAGGAGAGGTAAGAAGCGGGATGGCCTGACTTGCCTAGCTGGTTATATTGCTTTTGAAAAGGGGAGAGGTAGTAGGTAGGTGGTATCCGTGACGGTAGGATAGGGGTTGGCTCAATGCTTTTGGTAGCAGCAGAGGTAATTCCCGGTCTAAAACCACTTGCCTGGGGGGAAAGTTGAGCTCGATGGTACGGGTGAGGCTTGTACTGCTGCTGGTGCTGTATGTCGGCGGCAGTGGGAGAGACCGTTCCCTGCAAACCAAAAGCTGTCGACTTTGTTGCCACTGGAGAAGACACATGAGAGGACGGAGAGGCCTGGTGCTGCGGTGACTGCATAATGTAGCTTCCCTCATGATGTACTTGTGACACAGAAATAGGCTCTAACTTCGGGATATGTGTGGCTGGCCCTGGGGAAGTCTGTGCTAAAGATGAGCCGTGAGATGGCTGGCTGGTTGGCAGCCTGTTAGGGGGTAGATTCGGGCTACCACCCCTGAGACGTAGCTCAGTCTGTACGTCGACGCCTATGTACATCAGCATTCGACTCTTGTTCAGGAAACATGCAATACCGTGTAGGCTTAAGGGTTGGTTACCTTTCTCCAGCAGAATCCTTTCCAATAACGAGTTCTTATACCGCAGCATAAGGCATTCGTCCGCAGCGTTGCGGTGGCTTTGTTGTAAGCTATGTAACGTTTCCTCGTTATGCTTTATTGTGGTCTCTAGCTGTTTTATATATTCGGTCCTTCTCTCGCGAAAGGCCGCCTGGGCCTGTCTGTTCCGCTGTTTTCGTTCTTCAGAAGTAGCATAAATCTGAAGCAGTGGGCACAACCAAAAGGCAGAGTGCAAAGAGCACACCGCCCAGGTACCATTGTGTTAGCCTCTTATGCCCGTACAATTCCAATAGTGTAACAAGAAATATTGCGGAAAATAGGGGAGAGACTGCGGTGTATCAATATCCTCTCGCCCCTTCTTCGCAGGAAAGGCCAAGTACCTACTGGCTTTCTTCCTCCCTTGCGCTTCTGTCTTTGCACAGGGTCCTGAATAACAACTTCTCCTTCGGGCTCAGGCGTAGATAACGACGAACTGCATGAGCCCTCGACTGTATGGTGTGGCTCGGACTTTGTAGCTACTTCGTCCATAACGCCATTCCTCGATCCACTATGGTCGATAGGCACCGATCTCATTTGGCGGGCTAGCTGACGTTGGTATTGAACGGCCTTGATCCTAAGCTTGTCAACCTGCTCTCCCTTGACGCCGACAATTGGTAGAGGCGAGACCCTGTTTTACCAACCCACACGCAGGTATGTATAAATATAAAAACAAAAAGCCACCTTGAGCTGGATTGGGCGAAGGAGGAAACTGGCGTCACGGGTACGGCGCAGAGAGAATGCACCAATTGGTCATAGGTAAAAGAAGCGCGCGGCTGGCGAAGGTAGTTGAGCAGAGCTGGCTTTGAGGGAAATAAAATAGCCAGCGTCTTATCGATGCTATGAAGTTGTTTCTGTGTCTTCCCTAGAATTTCACTGTAGCGGCTCCAAGTCGATCCAGTGTATCTCCATCCGGTGGGCTCGGGGGACGTTAGGGGTGTGGAGAAGCGGATGATAGACTCGTAGTTGAACTGGGGGAGGATCCAGGGAGGGAAAATAGAAGAGGAAGAAAAGCCGACGGCCGCCGCTCAAGTAGTTATAACTTAAGTACTCCGTAGTTACGGGGTAACTCGCCGAAAGCTCCTATTCTCCTTGACAGACTGCTACTTGAAAAGGGCTAGAGGGATTTGATCCGGCTCCAAGTATATCACGATGGCCTTTGCATCAAGCAGTCGATGAACGAGCGAGCGAACAAGCATGCAGGGGAGCGAAGGCCGTCCGTTTTCTACCCTTGCTCCAGAGCCTAGCTCTCCAGTCCTTGCGTCTTCTCTCAAGATCTAGAAAACTGTTGCTTATGCTATCCCTTGTCTAGGTGGGAACTCTCTTCCCTTTCCTAGCACATCTTTCCCTCCTGTCCGTTCCATTGGGGCGCCTCTCTCTTTGCCTGTCTTCTCGTCTTCTCTCTCTCTCTTTTTTTTTTTTTTTAAACCTTTTGGCCTTCTTTCTTTTTCCTTTTCTTTTTTCTTTTTTTCTTTTCTCTTTTTTTCTTTTTCTTTTTTCTTTTTCTTAATTTTCAACAGAACCCCAAGTGGACACAAGAGGCGGCCGTGATATGTGGCAGCGGCAGGGCAAACGAAGGTTTAGTTTTGGGTGGAAAGGAGCTGTTGGCCAGTCATGGGGTTGATAGTAGGTGCTTCTTGTCTCCTTCTCTCCCTCTTTACGCCATCATTAATCTTCCCGCTGTCCCCTAAGTAGGATGCTTGCGCCCTGAAGTGGGAAGGTGGAAATTTTACAAAGCATCTGGCCATAGCCACAAGTTCATTGAAAAGAGCCGAATCTGGGGGTATAGGCAGCGATGGCCTTCGGCACCTCGCTTCAAGAACGGTGGCATGATTAGCCGCTTCATCTCTCTTCTCTTTCTCCGCAAAAATACGTGAATGCCCCCCAGAAAGCCTCCTGTACGAGCATCATGACCAAGCATACTCCGTAATGGACTGTACGTTGACCCTCCCCAGAGCCTCCCTTTTCGATTCGGTTTGCGCAGGTTGGACAGTGAACTACATTCCGTTGGCTGTGTCCTTGCAAGCCAGGGGGTTGTGGGGGAGAAGTCAGGCACTCGGTCTCCTCCCTTTTTGTTGGCCCCCCTTAGCCTTCTACCCATATGTATGGACGAATTCCAGAAAAAAGCCTAATATGATAGTGAGTCTGGAAATTATCCGGGGGAACCAAGTCTGGGAAAATCACTCAAAATCGATGATCCCCCTTGGTTGATCCATCAGCGTTGGGAAAAAAGTACGCGATGTACCAAGTAGCAACCCGTTTCATCGGGAACTCGAGGACTTAGGCTAAGCGTCCTTCTTCGCCTTGTAAGTACGAACATCTGAGAATTCTATCCTCTTAAGCCTATGTTGGGGATAGTTAACGGATAACGACCTCGTACGTTTATACTTCATACCTCCTGAGGCTTCCTTCGCAAGGTCAGCCAGGAGGACCCCCGTCAGCAAATTATGTATATGTATCAAGAGAGAACTATAGCAGAGCGGTAGCAAGCGTATTAATGCATCTTTATCTGTAATCCAATCGGATCATGACTTTTCCCATCGGGAAACTCGGGCTGCTTGCTTCTCGTTTCTTCTTCTGTCTTGTCAGTGATTTTTGCCTTTCCTTTCCTTTTCTCTTCTTTTCGAGAGGGCGGTTGTGGTGGTGCTTCGCTCGCGGCAAGGGTAGATTATCTGGGCAAAGCAAGCCATCGCCAGGCATCACGGTACTTAGGACATCCACCGACCTTCCGGAATCGTTATCCGCTGGCATCGATCAAGCCTTTCTGGTCGAGATCCAGAAACAAGCTTGCTTTTAGACCAGAGAGAATCAATTCCACCTTTGACACATCGAGGCTAGAAATCCACGAAGGTACACTAGTCGGCTAGTTGAAGTCTAGTGCCGGCTGTGTTGGTGAGATCCCCCCATAGCCTCGATCCCCAAAAGCTCGGAGCCGGGAATAGGCTATCAGTCAGCAGCATTTCTCAGGATGATGCGCAAAAAAACCACCTAAGATTTCACGAAAAAGACAGAGAATCACGACTGCATCTGAGAAGGGGGGGGAACGCCTGGCCAAGTCATCACAGAGTGACAGGTTCTTTCTATCTCAAACGCAAGGCCAAGCGCACCCCCATGTTGTTCCTACATCTCTTGGTGCTGCGCGAAGAACTGTGAGCCTCGCTTCGAGGGGTTCGTGGCGGCCATGCTGCTTGCTTCGTCTCCGTCTTCTTCATCCTTCCTCATCTCCTTTGTCTAAATCAGCTCTGCCGTCCAGAAGCCACCCGAACAAGGGACGTCTTCGATCTCTTGATCTGGCCTGCGTCGTTTAGTTTGTTAGTTAGTTAGCGACCCCATCCACCACCCAGGTCTTTGGCTTCCCGAAAAAATGTTGGAAAGGCAACGCCACTATTCCATGGGTGCGCGTATCTCACTCTTCCTGAACGGGGTTCTTTTCTTCTTGTGTGTATGCACTGTCCGGGATCCCAGCCTGTACTGGATTTCCCCTTGACCTGCGGAGTTTGCGTTGCGTTGCGTTGCTCTGCTTGTTTTTTGCTGTTGGATTTTCCTGCTTCGTCGACATCTCGGGCGAGTCGCTTAGTCATCATCGGCCTCCCTCGCCGACGTCACATTCGAATTTCGGCTTGGACGAAGTGGACGAAGTGGACGAAGTGGACGAAGTGGACGAAGTGGACGGCAACGAGATGGAGCAAAGAAAAGAAAGCATGGAGCGGAGTAGAGGAGGTGGCAGCAACGATGCAGAGAGCGCGTGAGAAGGCGAGAAGCCACACAGTGCAGGTGGCCGGAACACTTCCTCGGCCATGTTTTATACAGGTTGCTGGCGGTCGTCCTTCCCCGGCGCTGCGCATGGCACCATCGGTTCACCATAGTCAAGTATATGCAAGCTGCAAGAAGCTGGTCTCTTACCCTTCGTAGGTACATGCATTGGCGCAGAGTACCTCGTGTAGTTTCTGTGGCCGATGTGCCCTTCCAACGGTCTCTATGATGACGTACGAGTCACCCACCAACCAAGGAGCAGTCAAGGCATTATCCTCCCTTGATAGGCTCCCACACGCAGGAAACGGCCCGAGTCTGCCTCTAGGCCACAGTCTGGTCGAAGCATAGCATGGGATATATATGCTCTTATGCACATGTACCGATGGCGTACACACCCTACATAATCGTGCGGTGCAGTCGCTTTTTGACAGGGAAAATCAAAATCACAGGTCAAATATATGAGCCTCAGTAACCAGAATGAAGGGATCGACTTCTATCACACGTTTGGGGTTACGGGTAATCCCAGCTCCGTGGACTGAGCTCCCCTTGAAACCGCTTAATTTCATCAGGACTGCCTTGCTTTTACTGCTTGCTGTGATGGCAACGATGGCGATGCTGCTGCTGATAATCGGCCACTCGGGGAAGAATCGATGGTGTAAGTATTTAGAAGTTGGTTTGTGCTGCCAAGATGATGACTCTATGAAGCGCATTTAAATCGAGGACCCAAAGATCTACTTCTTCCGGGCGTCGGGGTGAAGGCGGGGGCGGAAACTGTTCATGGTTCATCCTTCGAGGCATTGATAATGAAGGGCTATTAGGAACAAGGATCTTGTGGGGAGATGCATATAAACACAAGAATGCTCTTTCTTGTAACTTCTTACCGCCACCTCATAAATATAGATGGGGAGTGTATGGAGCACTGCATATGATAAGCTTGAGTTTTGTTTCTACCTAGTCATGAGATCCATTTCTTCCTAGGTATTTCCGTATCTGTGACATCGTTTGCGTAGAAGGGAAATGGGACTCCTTAAGGGATAGCCGACATACCGTTCTTGTCTGCCTGTTCACGTGTAACGGTACATTATCTGTGAGTGTAGTTAATAGTACTACTGAAACGAACTTGGTTATCTCCAAAGAGCCCATCATTGCCCTAAATTGGCGTGGATGAAACCTAACTTCGGCCCCTTCTCTAAGATTATAGATCATCGATAAAATCGTGAGCGACAGAAAAGAGAGGGGAAACCCCCTCCCGAATCAGGATGAAAGGAGAAGAAGTACAGGGTGTGGGATTCCAAGAACAGAGGCACATGCCATCAGTTTTACGTCCTTGAGGCATGTGTCCAGATAGTATCAGAACCCGAATTTCGAGCCAAGCGCTGGAGGATTTAACATCAGCATTCATGCCGGTTTTTAGCATATCTTCGTAAAGCAGGGAGATATTGACTTACCTCCTAGAACTGCCTTCTTCTTTTGGTTCCTGACAAACTTGTTAACGTCATCTGCTAGGCCGCTGCTGTTCTCTCCAAGGCGATCCATGCTATCGCCCATAATGTTTAAATTTTCAGTTCTTTCCTGCATTTGCCTTTGCATATACGCCCAGTATGACTCTTGTGAACCCTGGGAGTTAGAGGTGCTGGTTCGGGGAAGACGCCCTTCACGCTCTGCCCTTTGACGCTCTTGCTCTTCGAGACGCATTTGCTCAAGCATGCGCTTAGAGGGAGGGCGGTTTGGTCCTCCAACTACAAGTAGATTTGCGTTAAACCAGCTACTAACATGTATGGCTTTGGTTTATCGAGGCTAAAAACTTACCCAATAAATCCACATCTGCAGTTGATACAAATTGCGTCCCGGATATCCATTGTAGATTGGAGATAGTTGGGCGAGGTGGGGCGATTGCTTCGGGGTTAAAGAGCCTATCTGCTGACCGGAGCCTATGTGAGAGGATGTTTTGTCAGTTTGATGTTCATATTAGAGGGAGACAACAACTTCATTTCCACGTACAACGGGCTACCGATACCCCAAACATGAAGCATAGCCAGTTCAGACGGCCCAGTCCATGCAAGAATATCTCCGGATGGTGATATCCGAGCATCACCCAACCTTCTAGTATCAAGTATCTTTCCAATACTTATAGAGCCAATCTCCTTTAAGGCTGGTATAGAGTACGCCCTAGCTTTCCCATCACCAAACAAGCCTACCACGCTGCACCCCCCAGAGGAGTGAACCACAGAGGCTGCATCACACATGAAGTCATCCCAATTCTTATGGGCGCCTTTAGATGTAGCGGGTTTGAAAATACGACAACCAGAAGGTGTGGCCGCGACTATCACTCCATTGACTTTACCGCCATTTCGTAAGTCTGAGACGGCGTCCTGTGTAGCTAGTGTCTGAGCTCCAGTCTCCGCATTAATAGGGCAAATGGATAGCACCCTGTCATCCAAACTACATGACCCAACAAAAGACACAGTATACGTTGCGCCAGATGAAGGAAGGATTTTAAATGTAGCTAAGTGACCGTTGTTTGTGCCAACGAAGCAGCTGATACTCGAGTAACCTAGGTATAATCAGCAAGGGATATTTGGGAAATGAGGGTAAATTAACTGAGATTAGGACTCACTGTCATCTTCAATTCTTAAAACACCAAATTCAGCACAAGTTGGCCAATCTACCCCTTTTTCCATTGAAGAATGACTTTTCCAGCTGCTTCGCCGTGACTGTTTGGCTGCAAAATCCGTCAAGTTCGCTGAGTATATCACAGCCGGGCCGCGTAAGTCAAGAAATGCGATGCTTCCAGACTTATATCCGACACAGATGAATCCTACATCACTGTGCTTGAGAACGGTAATTGATCCCTGGCTTTGGTCTAGCAGTGCAAGAGGGAGTAGCCCTTCCTTCAGTCCAGGGTCACCTCTATGAGAGATGCTAGTAATTTGGTCTGGCCCATTATTCTCCCCAAGGGGTACATCTCGGCCAGCGTTTTCATTCCGGCCCCATTTAAAAACCACTAACTCTCCGCTTTGGAGGCCGACAGAAAGTTCGCCTGCGGCGCCAGAAAATGACATCTGGGTGGCTGCAATTCCATCATACCTCCCAACTGCGCGAGCAAGATCCACTTGAAGAACCGTAGGATTCTCTATCTGATCGTCATGTCCGATATCCCAGAGACGTATGAGACCATCTGCATGTGCAACAATAGCAATATCTCGGCTTTCAAAACGTTTAAGTGCCTTTTTTGCTGCTGCTCCCCCGATAAGAAGGGGTGGTCCTTGTGCTCTCTTCTCTCGCCAACCAAGCCATCTTGTCCTGTCGATGCAAGCAAGATCAAAGTTGGTAGCAAATGGATGGACCATTGTTAGAGACGGAGGGAAAACATTGGTAGGAGTTATGGTGTATCCGCTTGGAAAGCTTAGAGTAACTAGCTCCCCGGATGATAGAAGAGCAACAACTGCAATAGGGTCTTGAGCACCCCCGAAATGGGGTGATGCTCTGGGAATTAGACAAAACTGGGCTACTTCTGCATTTGGCGGAGTCGATAACGTTGACTGACGCTTTAAAGATGAGAAATGACCAGACAGGACTTGCCAGGAAGAAGTTTGGTAGTTGGGAGTAATCCCAAGGTCAATAAACGTGAGCCCTTTTGTCATCTCAGTGGTAGGTGTTCCGCCGGCTATTAGTAGCCCCGTATCGTCCGGGTTTTCTTTGCAACACCATGCAATTTCAAAAATAGGTGCCTTTAGTGAGAAAGTATTAGGAGTTGAGCCAGAAGTAGACGCGAGTTCGCCTGGTTTATTCACATCTATTGCCTGTATCGTTCTAGCCATGACGACACGCCCATCTTTCGGGTCCCAAAACACAAGAGATGAATCTTCGTGCACAGTTAAAACAAAAGTGGCAGTTGGGTGCCAGAGTGCCTTGACAACTTTGGGCCACCTCGTCTCACGAGCCGAGGAGGGGTCTGAATCACCACCTGGAGCGCCCTTGGGTACCTCATACTGGAAGTACTTGACGGGAACATTTTGTTTGATAGAAAAAATCACAGCTCCATCCGAGTATCCGATCAGTAGAGTCCCTAAATCCTTTGGGTGAAAAGCAAGGGATAATATGGGGAGAAATCTGGCCCTCGAATTTCTCTCTTTCCATAAATTTGGCACTTTGAACGGAGCTACCATATGCCGATCGAGGTCATATGTGACAAGCTCGCCTATCGCCGATAAACGATCAGCTAGGGAAAGCTAGAAATAGCAGCACATTGAAATAATAGCCATAACCAACCGTTCTGTAGCCCGATAAATGCATAGTCTAGGGCTGGGTCTGTAAGCACACACGTAGCATGTCCAGGCGGCGCATACGAAGTGACGAGCTTTCTCTCATCAAGAGAGAAGACGTATAGCTCATTCTTGGCAACGGCGAGTAGCTTATCTCCGCAGAATTGAAGAATACTCGTTGACGCTTTGCGAGGGAGGGAAAAAACGGCAGAGACTCGCTCTTGTCCAAACACATAAATTTCCCCGCTCCCAAACTGCGTCTCGCTTGTGCCGGCAGCGAGTAACGATTGAACGGGGTCATACGCTATGGCGCTGATTCGGGAATTTATACCATAACGAGCCACCTGAGAGAGTGCCGGGTTAGTTCACATTATGCAGCACTCATAGGGGTGGCTGGTGTGCATCCAGTCCTCTCTAACTCGACGGACTCACCTCGTCTATGAGGAAGCTTTCTGGCGAGAGGCTCCCGGAGAGATCACTCTGGATGCCAGCCTGCTTTCCTCGTAAAAAATGGGCCATCTCTATAACTAAAGCGTTAACGAGCGCACGTACTCCGATACTGGGATGGTTTTATTCAGATCGCCAGCAACCAAGACAAAACGAAGTCGTTCGCGATTAGAAGCGAAAGGCGTTTCTGGCTCGCGCTCTTGGCGGCTGACGTCAAGTAAATAAGCTCACCAGCTTAAATGCACGTGAAGGGGCATGGACCTCATTTCGATAACCGCTAGTTATTTGTCGACACAGTATAAAACAAAAACAGTAGAAAACACAAGAGGTGCTTGGATAGTCATCTTGCAGCTTTGCTTTTATCTCGCCTTGTTAGCAGAAGGGGCTGGAATCCAAATCCCGAGCGAACGCCTCTCCAAATCCATCCCAAAGCCCATTTTTCCCAGCTCCGATGTGTTCCTTCTATTATACACCGTAGCAGTAACCCTAGGCGACCCGAATCAAACAGAGTTGCTCCATGTGTTTCAATACAAATCGCAAGAAAGATGGAAGATAGAAAGAAAGAGTATCATGGGGTATACTCTGCTATAGAGGCAAGGTCCGACATCAAATTCTTTCGGACTCGAAGCTCCTCCTCATGGGGCTGATTTCGATAGTATTGCTTCACTATTTTGAGGATATTGCGATAGCAGGAGTAACTAAGGGTTACCATACCATTAGCTTTGATGAATTGGAACGTTCTGTCGGCGAAAGCCACTTACAAGAGTAAACGGATAGATGCGAATCTACCCCGGGTAGGGTCAGACCCGTACCCACTGATAATTTCTGGGGAAGGGTTTTCAAATATGTCGGTCATGAGAACATCACCCCAGGTCGCAGCAGTGAAATCGATAATTCCGCTGATATCTTTAGTCTCAGGGTCGATAATGATATGGGAAGGCTGACTGATATTGTATAAAATCAAACGTGGTTCCGTAACATCATCAAAAACAGAGGACAGACGATTTGCTTGATGACGAATCTCAAAATACGGTAATGAAATAAGCATATTTTCGGCATTCCATAGAAGTGATTCAAGGAGATTAAGAAATGCTCGTTTCCAAGTCCGTTCTCCTCTTCCCACGCATATATCATAAACAGGGCCGAATTTCATAGCGGTATGCTGTCCAATTCGATCGACAGTAATACCGAGTTGCGTGTCAATGCGTCTCAGCTCATCTGACGTCAACTTTTCTTTGATTTCCGAAAGAGGCGTGCCGGGACACTTGTAACGTAAAAGAAATGTTACCGCTGGAGATGACGGAACTACCTCACATCGGATAAGCTTTGGGATGCACCATATTCCGCTCGGTTCAAGTAACAATAAGACGTGAGCTTCAACTTCGAGAGCATGCTGTTCATGGTATAGAACAGTTTCTGGTTGGCGTGTCGATGTTTTCAATGCGAGCTCAGTTCCTCCAGACATATGTAGGAGATAGTGCGGATGCGGGTCTTCGTCATAAGTTTGTATGTCCAAAACCTTCTGGTTGGGGAAAAGGGGCTGAATAAATCCATCAATAGAAGAAGTGTTTTTGTTATTGCGAGGCACCTTCCCGGTAAAACCAACTGAGACCATCGTTGTAGTAGAAATTTGCATAACATAAGGGTATGGTGGAGTACTGCATTGCCGTTGCATATTTGACAAGTTATGATGACCACGACGGGAATCCTGGCCAATACATGAAGAGATACGACTCTTGGGGATGAAGCCGAAGGCAGTCATTGTGTGTATATAAGAAACTGTATATATATGTTTTGCTTCCTCACTGAAGTCGAAAAAGTGCAACCCTCCATTATGTCCGAGCAATGTGCTGCAGCCTTCCCTACCTATATAAAACGGGCCTTGAGACGCTAAGAGCTATCAAACCACCATGAAATGTGGATAGAGCACGATAGGCAGATTTAACGTTAAGGGAATCGCTTGTGTCAAATTCAAGCGCCACAGGTCTGGTAAATTATGCTTTTGATCATCGGACTAATGCCCCAAGCATCCACAGGGTTCGATGTATGGATGGTTGGTAGGGGTATTAGGGGTATATTCCAGGCCACCCTCCCATTTCGTCTTTGGTCGTATACTGTACTGAAAAGTTGTGGTAAGCAGCTGCGCCAGTAAAAAGGATGTGCGGAAGAAAAATCGACATTAAGCAGCCTGGTTAATACCAAGTTCACCCAAGTTGCATCACAGCCAGCGGTCCCGGCCGAACGAACGGAAGCCACTTGGCCAGCCTGCTGAGTATTCAAATGGTGATAGACTCGTGTTTGCATCAGGCCTGTCACACCCTGGGGGGAACGCCGCAGGAACGGGCTTGGGCGGGAAACCTGCACTGGAGTCCTTGACCACTATGGTATCCGCACACTCGAGATGTGCCGTTGGAAGGTTGGAGTACGCCTGTCGAAAGTAACCTCGCCAGATTTTGCTGTGTTCAGTAATAATGCTCGATGCATGTTTAGAGGTGAAACGGGGACGCTGTCGATTATGCGCCGCGTTGCACCAATGAGAGCCGCGCATTTGGCGAGATTTCAGATTCGGAAATCCTTAAAATCCAAATGCAACGCAGGGTGGATCGCATCCATCCATCCCGAGCTTGCTTTCCTTCGTCTCCTTTTTTGCTTCTTCCCTTCGTCATCACCGCTCAGCTTCGACCATCGTCTGTCGTTTCTTGGCGTGGAAGGGAGCCAATCGCCTATCTATCAAATCCCCAAAGGTGCCTCTCTCACGCCAGCTTCACCCGCAAAAGCAGGCTGGTTGCAGAATGAGAGCCTGCGGACAATGCGAAGCGAATAATTAACGTCAGATCTCGTGCTTATACAGTCGGACGGGAAGACTTGGTCAAGCAGGGTCGGCTTGAGAACGCCCGAGATTACCGAGCATTTGTCGCTTCTCTTACAGAGTACTTTGCGCCAGTCCATAAAATAAACCTGGTCATGTATGTTGTCCGCGTACATGGTCAGTCATCATGCTATGTATCAAGAGGCATCCCCAAGGCGTTTTCAGTTGGCGGTCAATGCGTTCTCCCTGGTCCTGATGCAACATCTCTGCCGTTCCACCTTGGGTTCGACAGGCGAGTGACGGATGGCAAGCGGTGACGAGGTCTTCCAACCGTAGGTGATCATTTGGCGAAGGACAAAATGATGCCAGGGCTATCTTTCTATCTGTTGTTCGTGTATTTTAATTTTTCAAACCCTTTTTTTTTTTTTTTTTAAATCCCACTTCGCCCCGTTAAGCTTCATTTTGCTCATTTTGCACTTTCTCGTCTCCTCCTGGTTCCTTCTCCGGCTTTACTCCCGGCCGTGGCGTGGGAGAATATATTTCAGAGAGGTTGTAACGCTTTAATGCGTCATAATCACCCTCAACCACACTCATGCCGCACATAGTCTGGCGTAATTATGGTCAGCCATCTCCGCGGAGGTATACTAAGAATCATGTTTGGGGATAGGATGCACTCACCTGGATAACATCGACAAGAATCAACAAGTCATAGTTTTTCAGGTCCACTGAATGCTCACCCCCAACAATACTAGCAATGAGTTTGATGACCGCGTCCCTCTGGCAATCCGTGTTGTTTCTGATGGTCGGTCGAATAGCGTACTACATAGCGCGCCACCAGTGAGTAACGATATCCAGAACTTGCTTGCTAGGCCTGGAAAAGTATCATACCTTTCTAGGAGGGCCGCCAGAATGGAAATGCGGCCTCAGTACATCACGAGCCAGCTCCTCCAATCCGCCGCCGAGAATCTTCTTCATTGATGTAATTGGGGTTAATCGTTTAACCCAACGACTTCTCTTCTGTTCCGGATGTGTCCGGGCATCAATGCATAGGCGATGCACAATATCTACCGGATTCAAGGTACCGCTAGTTTTCACGAATATAACTGCCATGCTCTTAAGTCAGGGATTCAGCGCAGTGCCAAAAAAAAAAAAAAAAAAAAAAAAAAAAAAAAAAAAAGGTCGCATTCTAGACAGCTTACGACACGGGACGTCCAGGTTTATGAGCTGAAACGGTGCTTTCGATTGCTTAGGCTGCATCTGCTCCACCTCCCGCTTTATCTGTTCCTCGATATCGATATCGTCGTTCTCATTTTCATCACCTGTGCCATCATCGTTTTGATCCGCGACAACAGCTCCTGGTAGTTCCTATGATTTCTTATCAGTCCAATTGCTAAGAGAATAGCTAGGTGATCGAAACAGAGAGGGAAGGCTGCAGTGCAGACCTGTGAAAGGAGATCTAGGATCTCAGCGGAGCATTTTCCCTCCCGACCTCTATCACAGCTAACAAAAATTCCAGAATCACCGGTCGCTAGTTTTCTTTTCGAATTAATCTTTCGCTTGTCATGGCCTTTCCACTGGCCCTAAGACGCGTGTGAACACAGTATTCAATTAGCTCCCTAAGTATAAAATCAGAGGACGACCCTCGCCAGGTTTAGCACTAGCTGGGCTTTTCACCTGGTAAGAACCTACCTTTTGTCTCTTATTATCACGAGCGCTAGGATCGCTTGCTTTTCTTTTACCTCCCGTGTCGGCCATGACTGTGGTGGGCCGCTGTGATTTCTGACTGAAGTGGGAGTTGTAACCAAAATGTTATGAAGGTTAACCAAAAAATGCCCTTGCTTACATAATGAATTGTGAGAGATATCCATGGAAGATAAGATTCGGAGAGGATGATATTTTTTACCGCATGCCTGTGACGTCATAGGTTGCTCAGAGCTGATGTGGAAAGCAAGCAGGTAGGATGCACTGCCAGGGAAGGCTTGGTGCAAGGTACTTTCCTTGATAAATATATAAGCTGAAGGTCTGTTTCTTAATACAGCTATGTTGCTACTGTTGTAACATTCTGAATCAAAAGACTACTTCATCCTGCCAGTGTATTTGACGGCCATGGCTTCAGATATCGTCACCAGAGAGCTTGAAGAACCTATCGATGTAGCGGAGTATCTCTTCCAACGACTGCGTCAGATGGGGATTAAATCCATCCATGGCGTCCCCGGTAAGCTGATATTTATTGAGAGCTTTGGTACTAGATATCTCGTGTCTCAGACACTAATTGGCATGAGTGTTTAGGAGATTACAACTTAGGAGCTCTAGATTACATTCCGAGATGCGGCTTGCATTGGGTAGGGAATTGTAACGAATTGAATGCCGGTACAGTCAATAACTTTTGTTGGCTGCCTTTGGATATAATGCTAAGAGCAGAATAGGATATGCTGCCGACGGCTATGCGCGCATAAATGGGATCTCGGCATTGTTTACAACATTTGGAGTGGGAGAACTCTCGGCTCTCAATGCCATTGCTGGGGCCTATTCTGAATATGTCCCCATAGTGCATATTGTCGGCCAACCGAGTACATCCTCACAAAGAGATGGAATGCTTCTTCATCATACCCTGGGAAATGGTGATTTTAACGTCTTTGCCAATATGAGTGCCGGAATTTCCTGCTCAGTGGCAAAGCTGAATGATCCCCGTGATGCTGCCGCATACATTGATAGTACCCTAAAGGAATGCTGGGTCCGCAGCCGACCAGTGTACATTACTCTGCCTGTTGATATGGTCAAGCAGAAGATCGAGGGGAAACGCTTAAAAACTCCAATAGATTTGCGACTTCCGGATAACGACCAGGAAAAGGAAGACTACGTGGTTGATACTGTGCTGAAATATCTGCATGCTGCTAAACGGCCAGCTATCATTGTTGATGCATGTGCCATTCGTCACAGGGTTTTAGATGAAATCCATGATCTGGTATCAAAATCAGGCCTTCCCACATTTGTTGCTCCCATGGGCAAAGGGGCAGTTGATGAAACTCTTCCCAATTACGGCGGAGTTTATGCCGGAGATGGCTCCACTGCTCAAGTTCGGGAGCATATCGAAGCCTCTGACTTGATTTTGAGCATCGGAGGAATCAAATCGGATTTTAATACCACGGGATTCACTTACAGAGTCAGTCGTCTAAACACCATTGACTTCCACAGCAACTACATGGTTGTTCGGTATTCAGAGTATCCCGGTGTCCGGATGAAGGGAGTCCTCCGTAAAATCATTAATCGCATGGGCAAATTGAATATTACCGCTCCTCCAAAACAGGAGAATGTACCGGAAGAGAATCCTCAATTTCCAGCCCCAACTATTACTCACTCCTGGCTATGGCCGAATGTGGGTAACTGGCTGCAAGAGAATGATATTGTCATTACAGAAACAGGTACCTCAAGCTTTGGCATCTGGGGTACAAGATTCCCTAAGGGAGTAACCGCTGTAAGTCAAGTTCTCTGGGGTAGCATAGGCTATTCCCTCGGAGCCTGCCAGGGAGCCGCTCTCGCAACCAAGGAAAAGATGCCGCGCCGTATCATCTTATTTATTGGAGATGGTAGCTTTCAGCTTACTGTTCAAGAAATAAGCACAATGATCAGAAATGGATTAACTCCAATAATGTAATACCCCTTCCATACCATATCCTCCTTTCATTCTCGGGGACTTAGCTAATGGATGGTTCCAGATTCGTTATTTGTAACAATGGGTATACCGTGGAACGGTACATTCATGGATGGAAGGCAAATTATAATGATATTCAAGAATGGAAATTTGGAGAATTCCCGTCTGCATTTGGAGCGCAACCTGACAAATTTGCGACATATCAAATTCGAGAGAGGCAGGAACTCCTTGACTTGTTCTCCAACAAGGAATTTTGCTCTGCAAAGCGTCTCCAGGTAAAATCATATCCATGTGCTCAATTCTAGATTAGAATATTGGAAGTTGCTAACATGACTATCTCTTTTCGCCTAGATCGTGGAACTTCTTACTCCACAAGAAGATGCGCCATCCACCTTAAGACTGACTGCCGAAATGGCGGCAAAGAGAAACGAGTGATTGGGAGTCAATTCGGCTGGGCAGTCATATAACTCATCCCGGAGCCTTAACATCGGTAACGTCGTCGTTAAGGGAAATTTCGAGACTGATAGTTTATTGTAATTTTTATTATACTAGTTACCTGAAAACTACAAACACAAAATGATAATAACCGACCTCAAGAGTACATGAAGTTGAAGACGACTTTCATCAAATCAAAGAAACAGAAAATCATCGAGAATGGTCAAGACAAGAAGTGGTCGTGATTAACTAACATTGTACAATGGCCTTTAAATGATAATTTGAATGGTATCAAAAGGGCAGATAAACTAAAGGAGGCCTTTGAGTATCATCCCGTCTATTAAACAGAATAATGAATGGGCAGAGAAACAAACTGGATGCCAAAAATTAAGGGGTAGGTGCAAATCGAAGGATACCGCCATGCGATCAACCGGCCAGGTATAGATAGTAAGAATCATTCAATAAACGCATCAACACACGTGAAAGCACGATAACACACGGGACAGGAAAAACATGAGCTATAGCATGTACTAGTAATCAAAACACCACGGCCAGCAACCCCAAGACCAGTAAAGGCAAAAATAAATGTCATAATTGGCATAGAAACGCCAGAATCGGTTATTCCGGATGGTCACCTGAGCAATGCGAAAGATGCAAATAGGAGATAGAAAATGGGGTCAGGAAGAATACAGAGAGAAGAAGGTAAGTGGGCAACATATATGAGTGGGGGCGAGAACCATTTCAGCACCCGCAATCAATAAGATTGCAAGGGGAAGTTTGGACCCAAGAAATGAACGAAGGAGAAAGGTAATAGGGAAAGGTGTTGGTGTGGCTTTTCAGATCACATCATAGACCTGTCGTTCCAGAGGAAATTCCCGATTTATTGCAAACATACACTGTCAATTAACTTCAGGGTAGTCTCACCGGAGCTTCACGCACTTCCTTTCAAGGGCTGACTCCCTATTGGCTCAGAGGCAACGCCATTGGTATCATTAGCACTCCCATTGATGCCAACATGGCCGTTCGATCCATCCGTTGGTTTTGTTTTCACGACCCCGGCCCCTTTGCTGTTAGGAGTGGTAGTCAGGGCCGAATCTTCAGTCGCTCCCTCGGACCCAAACGTGCTAGTTGGAGCACCGGTGCTCTTCTTAATCTTTTTCTTGCTGGGTTCGAGAACCATGCCTTTGGCGGTGATAGAAGTGGAAGGGGGTGCCGGGCGTTTCTGAGGACTGGATCCGATACCCAAGGAAGGCTGTGGTGGAATCTTTCCAGATGCGGGAACACGAGGCCGTCCTGCCATCGGTCGTTGTTTGGGTGGTAGCTCATAGTCTTCAACCAAGGGCTCATCTTTGTTAGCGTGGAGTTTAGCCAAGAAGAAATTCCGCGCAAGACCAATTTGTGATGGGATGGACTCCAGAGTGATTTTAGGATATTGCGGTGGGGTAGGAAATAAGTCAGATGCGGATTGAGCAGAGCTGTTGAGTTCAGAATTAGCAGTTTGTCAAAAATATAAGTGATAAAGGAATGACTTACTTTGCATTCTGAGCCTGATGAGCATTGAACATCCTGTTCTGAAGGAGATGTAGAGGAACGCTAAGGCTTGCAAGACCAAACTCCTTATCCAAGCCAAGCTCCTTAAATCCAAAGAAATCCTCATCGATGTCATCAGCAAAGTCACCCCCAACGAATTGTTCGCTTCCGTCGTTGAAAGCTCCAGACCCATCACCACTCGTGTCAGCGAATGCAGGGCGCAACAATTCCGTAAGATGGTTCTTTAATCTTTCGTGGATAACAGCAAGTTTAGCGCCATGGCGGTCTATATCGTCCTTTACATAGGTCTCTAATGTGTCCACGTCTGTGCCAACGGCCTGCAGTGTATGCAGAATCATCTCCTCGGAGGTATATGGCAGCTTCCATTCTGATGTTCCAGTCTGATCTGACGAGTTGTCCGACGCAGGGACTTTGGGGGCTTCCATGTAGGATTTAAGGGTTTGTCCAATCTTGGTGAAGAAGTCTGATGCAACGTCCGTAATAGCATCCAAAGCGGAGGGTTGGTACTCCTCAAAACCAGTGTGATAGAGAATCTTGCCAATAGATCGCTGAAGTGCAGCTCTGCAGACCCAAGGGTTGATTACCGGCCCCTCGCCATTCATGACATGAGGCGCGATATCTTGTTCAACGAGCCGTTCAGGTTGGTACTTTTGAAATTGGTTTTGGTACATCTAGGTGACCAGGTTAGGTTTGTCATAATTCTGAGTATAGAGTTAAATGGAGTGTAAGTCTCACCTGAGATTGTTGTTGCATTTGCTTAACAATACTGATTTTTGAGCAAGCTTTTCTAGTCTCTTGCATTTGCCTCACGTTCGCATCCAATTTTTTCGAAAATTTGCTCACAGGAGCAGTAAATAAGCCACTAGGAAGGACTCGAAGGAACTCTTCCGAGTGCTCTACGACATTCCCTTCAGCATCTTCGGTCCAGTGGAGGTTCTCAGGAAGGTCTGGAATGGCCGACATCACATCATAATAATCGGGAAGCATTTTATCTTCTTCTTCTTCAATCCCTTCAGCAAGAGTCTCTCCACTAGGTTCGGCTTTTTCCTGTGAAGGAGCGGCCTCAGGCTTATCTGTTTCACCTGGCGTTGCTCTGCGATTTCGAATCCATCTTCTCATACCAGGCTTTGTTCTGAGGAGGGCTTGCTCCTCTGGATTAATTTTATCTCCTTTAAAGAGTCTATGTCTTTCAGCAGCGACAAGAGCACGATCCTTCTTTGTCACTAGTTTCCAGACCTTGAACTCGGGATCTTCAAACTCGGAACCAAGGCCTAACAGGGCAGCACATTGACCGGCAGGAGGTGGTCCAATGCAATCTATATCCATGCTATCACCCTGGGTTGCGGGAAGGCCGCTATTATTTAGGGTCAAAGGTGTAAGAGTACCCGGGGGTGGCGTTGAAGAATCGTTTTGACTCCCTTCTAAGAAAGAGTCCTGTCGGGCAACTGGGGCTTCCTGAACTTGAGGTCGAGAATCAGTTACTGATGTAGTCTCTGACTTAGTCTCAGGTGCAGTCCGTGTCGTTGATGTGCCTTTCTTGGATTTCTTCCCTGGAGCCTTCCGCCCTCGGGAGGACATGATGGGTTCATCGTCACTCTCTTCCGCACCATCAAGGTCAGCAAGTTGAAGTCTTCGTTCCTCAGCCTCAACCTCTGCCCGGTCCCTAATAACAATATCTGGAATGAGTGGCACAAGCTTTTCCGTTTCCTTCCTCATGTAGAGGGCATGCTTGCGTAGGAAATGCTCAGGATTGGCGTTGTATTTCAAGCAGTTTGCCCAGATGAGATTAAGATCGTCAACAAACTCTTGTTTCGATTTGTATTGGATGGCCTTCAGTTTCTTGGTCATGGTTCCCAAATCCATAGGTCGTTTGATAACTATACAAGTATATTAATAAATTACCCTAAAATCCAAGAAGCGTAGACTTAACTTACTGTTAACATAATCCGGAGCATCTCGTCGATTGACCTTTGTCAAAAATGCACTGGAATGCTCTGTCTGAGCTTTTAGTTCACTCAGAACTTTTTCCAGGGCCTCATAGAGTTCTTCTTGTCCGATCTTCTCTTCGCTGGCCCATTTACTTCTGTTCTTCCGAACCTCACTCATCAAGCTCCTCAGTTCAGCATCAGAAGCTTGTACTTCATGGCGTTTCATGTCAATTCGCGCGATAAGGTTCTTCAGCGTTAAACTTGATGCGCCGAGATTGGCGCTGCTGAGAGTTCCATGTCCAGGGCCTTGAGCAGCAGTGGAATCGTTACTGGCGTTATTCTGGCTGGACATCTCAGCCTCAACTTGTCTTTCAGACTCCTCCAGGCGTTGCTGGTCCAGCATCGCATCACGGTCATTCTCTAAGGTGTAGAATATGGTATGGAAGCTCTGACGGGCAGCCTCCTCGGTAGCCTTTTTGTCTTGTTCCAATCGCTTTCGGATATCCTCCGCTGATTCCTTCTTCGCGTCTTTGGGGTTCTCCGGGGCAGAACCAGGTTGTGAGGATAGCCTTGGTGGTGATTGAGTCGCGTGCTTTGGTTCAGGGGGGGTGGGCGCGCTTTTGGATTTTGGGGGTGACGGCCCTTGGCCGCCAGAGTCACTGCCACCCTCATCATCATATTCATCATAATCGTCTTCGTCCAAATTCCTCGCAGGCTTCCGAGGCGCAATTTGCGGTGCTGGTTGCGCGGCGGATTCAGATCCCGCCTCCGCTGCGTTGGTATCACGAGACTCCGCGCTCGGCAAACTGGAGTCTGATATCTTCGGTTTGCCGCTAAATAAAGAATTTATTTTTGGCCTCGCTTTCCAGGTAACTGTTTCTAAATGCGACTATGCGAGGGTCTTCTTCGGGGCGCAGGGTCAATTTTCTGATATCGATATGCCGCTCGGCATGGACTCCAAGGTGGCACGGGACCGCAGCTGAGGCGTACGCGGGCGGGAAGGGTTCTGGAGAGACCATTGACGAGGATGCGTGTCAAA